ATATATATATATATATATATATATATATATATATATATATATATATATATGCACTGTTTTTGCCATAATTAAAACTAGTCGAATAAAAATTAATAAGATTTTAAATCATAATAAGTATTGATAATTTATACTAATTATTTTTATATTATTATATTATATTTTATATTATTATATATATATTTAATATTTAATATTTATATAGTATATATATATATGTGTATATTTAAATATATATGTTACAAATGATCATAAAAGAATTTATTTTCTTAATAAAGAAGTGATATACATGAGTTAAACATGATTTGATTATCGAAATTTTTTCTACATGTATTTAATATATAAACTTTACTTAAAAGGCGATCAATTGTTATTTTATATTTAATTATATATATGTGTATATATATAATGTATTGTACATATATAAATATATTATAATTTTATATCATTTTATAATTTTTAATAAAATATATGAGTAAAGATAACGCATTTCGATGTGATTTTTTTTTTTCTACTTTTTTTTTCATATGTATATATGCATAGCAACTTTTTTATTTTATATATCCATTTAATTGCATAAAACACAACAAAGCTTTTTTTAATAGATCATGTATACAATTTACAGTAGTAAGTATAAATACTTGTGTACTTTGATATATAAAAGTACAATACATAGTATATTCAAAAATTGTGAATAGTATAGGAAAGATAGAAATATTGTTTCGTTTTATTACACACACCAAAACAACAATACAGCAGAATCTAAAATGGAATGCATATACCTGTTGCTATGTAGTAGCATATTATACATATAATACTAATTGAACAACAACATGATTGTGTTGATGTTTCAGCAACATTTTCATCCTTTGAGGATACATTTCTATTGATCTTTCTTCTCTGTTGCTTGCTGGAAACTCGGTGGACTTTCCTATTATATACAAATAAATATCTATTTAATATTTTCCTTAAATTTTTTTAATAAAATTTAATAAATGATGTTTTTATATAGTATGCATGTTACTTACATAATATGCAGGAGGTGGAACATAGGCACATTGTGGTCTATTTGGATCATAATAAGCACTTTGAGCAGCTTCTGCTGCTTTTGCATCTGTAAAAAATAAAAGAAATAAAACATATAAAAAAATGAATATAATTAAATATAATTTTTATTTAAAAATATATTTAAATTTATAAAAAGTTACATACATTTGTACATATTTGATATAGTAAATTTAAAATGATCTGGCATTTTTTATAAAGATATTTATATTTTGTATTTAAATAAATTATTTTAATATTTTGTAATTTAATTTTTTTTATATAATTTTATGAGTATTATTAAATTTGATCATATAAAATCACTTTTGATATTTAAATATAGATATATATATATATATATGTTTATATTATATATGTAAAATATTCTGTCTAAAAGATTATTAAATTAATTATTATAATTTTTCAAACAATATTATTCAATTCAAATAGCAATACATGATGAAAGAACACTTTAGTTGAATGAATTATTGATTTTGCTAATAATTAAAATTTTTTTAATGTTATTTTAACAAAAAAATAATAAAATTAATAAATTGTTTACTTTTTATAATTTATATAAATATATTAAAAACAATTAACGATTATAAAACACTTCGTGAATTTTCGAACTATCTTTGATAACTATGAGATAATAACTGAGCATAGTGAAAGTCAACCTTACTTCAGGTGAACTAAAGTTATTGTGCAATAGTATGTTGCATAATGTTCAAAACTTTAAAGTTCACTAAATGAAATAAAAAATATGACACTCTTTTTCGATTATTTTGACGAAAAAAAAATTTATAATATCATTTTTATAATGAAGCAATATTTTAAATTGGTGGGTTAAATAAAAACAGCAAGACATATTTGGCTAAATTTTAATGACATACTATGTTTTTATATTATAATGATTATCACAAAACTATTATATGATAGAAGCAACAAAAATATAATATCTTAATTTACAATAATAATTGATAAAAAAAAGAAATATCGAAAAATAATTCAATATTCATTATAATATGTATATTACATTATATGATTTTTATATTATTATTTTTTATATTATAAAGAATAGTATAATATATGATTTTTTCTTGTGTTTTTAACACATATTAATTAATATATTTATTACATTTTATTTTAAAAATTATTTTCAAAAATTTTATCACATAAAATATGATATAAACATGCATACATATATAGCTTTATACATAAAATTAATAATTAGGTGGATATGGATTGTAAGGATTTTGTTGTGGATAATAGCCAGATTGAACATAATTATTACCTTGAGAATATGGAGTATATGGAGGAGGATTTTGCGAATAACTGTTATATGCTGGCTGTCCATAATTTGGATACGCACCTGCTTGGGACATTGGTTGGGCATTATAACTTGGATTAGCCCATCCAGGTGCACCATTTTGTTGAGGTGGTGTCCAACCAGGTTGTTGACTGGAGTTTCCCCATGCACCTTGTGGTGGTACATTTGCATATCCTTGATAAGGTGTATTTATACCAGGATAGGGAGGTGGCATATCCGTCATATATACACTATTGGCTATATAATATAAATTTTCATTCTTTATATATATGAAATATTAAAATATTAAATTGTTAAACATTAAAATGTTAATTCTAAAATTGATACAATATATATATTACATATTATATTTATATATTATATATTATAATGCAAAAACATCTTTAAAAAAAAGCAGAATAACCTGGTGGTGTATCTGAGAAAGCATCATTTCGTGGTAGCCATCCATAATATCCTGTTGGTGCTGCTTGATAAGCAGGTGGTGGTGCTGCATACCAATTTGATGTTGGAGGTTGATATGGTGGTGGAGCATCATTTATAGGTCCATTTTGTTGAGCTAAAAATAAATAAAATAATTTATATATAAAAAAATATTATAAGATTAAAATAACAAAAAGAAATTATTAAAATTTCTATATTTAATTTATAATTAATGATAATATTTACCCATTGCTGCTGCTCTTAACATAGCTTGACCAAATTCTATTGCACCACCACTTTTGAAATGTAATTTGAACTTGCATTCTCCAATCCAATTGCCATTTGGTTGAGCACGACATTTTCCTTTGATGTAATTAGCTCCAAACATTGGTTGTTCTACTTCAACTTCACTCAATGTTATAAATGGGAAGCTAAATGATTGCATTTTTTCTTTTTGATCTTTGGCATTAAAAATCATTCTGTGTGTAGTTAAATATAATCTGCCACGTTTGCTACCAATAAATTCTGCTTGTTCTTGTCCATGGAATTCCATTGTGACATGGTCACAGAATAATAATATGCTAAATAAATAAATATTTTATTATTTATGTATATCATACTAGTTACAATGTAGAAAAAAAAATAATAAATAAGATTTCAAATATTAATTTGATTAATTTTAAACATTTTTTTTAAAAGACTAAATATATTTTTATATAATCTTATTCAGAGAAACAATTATTGATAAAAAGGAAGTTGCATTCGGAAGGCCACGATAATAACTACGTTGTAGAAACGTCATAAGCAAGAACATGTGAAAGAACGATAACATCTTAAAATTATAAATACATTTTATAACTTACCATTCTCCAGCGTGTATTAAAACACCGCCGTTAGCGTGCGCTGTATTTAACGACATACTTTTTTATTTTTTCTTTCAATACGGTTAAAATTTGTACGAACAATCTTTCTTCGTCAGCTGATTCATAAATGATAAGTATGACTATATGACGCAGTGCGCAAGCGCATTTATCTCAATACAATATATTCAACGATGTAGTAAGTAGTAAGTACATAGTATTTACAATATATCTACACATTTATATAACCAACCAATTGATATTTTACATAAATATATAATTATCTTTTTCAGTTTAAATCTTCTTGATCATTTTTAAAATATTTAACTAAATGCATAAAATTCCTTTATATATATATATATATATATATATATATATATATATATATATATATATATATATATAAATAAATAATAATAATAATAATATATATAA